AGAGAGAGAGAGAGAGAGAGAGAGAGAGAGAGAGAGAGAGAGAGAGAGACAGAGAGAGACAGAGAGAGAGAGAGGAAGAAATGAAGATAGAGGTAAAAAGGCATTAGAAGCAGAGAAACACATATTATATTTAAAAATAATAACTTTTCCCTTGTCTTAATAATATGAATAACAACATCCTTTCCTATTCTGTAAAGTTTTTCTGCAAACTGATATCTGAATTGAAACAGAGAGAAGAAAGTTCACAGAGGTGGCAGAAGATGTTCTGATACCCTTGAAGGGATGTTAGGCAGGACATCAAAAAGACAGTATCTCAGACAACTAGCCTCATAGTTCTCAGGTTCCATTTCTTTACATAAAATCCAAATGACTGAAGGATCTCAAGTTTACCTCTAATTCTTAAAACCTGTGAATTTTCACCCCTAGTGAAACAGACAGCACCATGAATAGAAATCTCAATGAAGAGGAAATATTTGGTGAAACACTCTCCAGTCCTGCAGCCTCTAGAGCTTACAACTGCTCGATCTGCTCCTGGTGCTGGGCAATGTTGCGTGGCTCTTCTCGTCGCCTCTGTGGGAGCATCGGGAGCTCATGTGGGGCCAGTTTCCTGACATGGTTTGAGGGGACAAAGCCCTGGTGATCATCAGCTTCAACCTTCCACCAGTCCTGAAATGAAAGCAGATTATCTAATTCTTGGAAAAATCTAAAGAAAGCAAGGTGATCAAAGTTCCTCTTATCTGGCTATGTCTATCCTGGACGTTTCTGTTCCATCACTAAGAAGAGTGACATAGAAGAGAAACAATTAGACACATGAAGAAAGGAACAATCATAGCTTATTTCTTTGATCTTTTTTTTTTTTTTTGCGGAGCCAGGGATTGAACTCAGACCCTTGCACTTGTCAGGGAAGTGCTTATTCCACTGAGCCATCCCCCTGGCCCTGATCCTTCCATTCTTTAACTATAAAACTAGGATTATAAATCAAAAAGTATGTATAAGGTCATGTATAATATCTGGAGAAAATACTACTAAAGTACTACTTAATAAATTGTAATTCGTTAAGAGAAAAAGAGATGAAGAATGTTTCACAGACAAGGTATGAATGCCTGACAGATTAGGAGAGACACCTGTTGAGGAACCAGTGCACAGATGAAAGGAAAAATAAAGAAGTCACCTTGTTGATGGAACTGAGCAGAGTTAAGATGTCATTCTTCTTCATGGTGACTTCTCGCAGACTCCTGGCCTGGAAGTCAAATAAAGCCAGAATTCTCACTTCTTGAGCAGCATCACCCACAGGTGCAGCCTGTTGTTGCTGAAAAACAAAAGGAAACAGGAAACACATATATATCACCCATGGGAACATCTCCCCAAGCACTCTTCCTGTGGTGGGCAGTCCTCAGGGCTTCTGGAGAAGGAGAGGCCTCTGCCTGGCACCTGTATCAGCACTGCATGTGTGAAAAAAAATTCAGATACACAAGCTTAAGTATCTTATGGTTTCTCTTATACACATAACCCCAAATATAAGTGAAAATTGAAATATGAGATTGATCATGAGAAGTGAGGCTTGTTGAGGATGGGAAAGGGAACATAGAGAGAGGGAGGGTGCAGCCAGAGGAAGGAAATGGGAGGGAAAAGAAAGAGATCTTTTACAAGAGGGGAGACCCAGAGTTGGAAAGATCAGGGAGGAATAAGAGGCATAAGCAAAAATAAATAATTAAAATGTGTCATGCACGCGTACTGATTCTCCATGATATATGCAATCACTGTGCACTGCGAAAAGTCAAATTAAAAATTTTTAAAGGCCAAAAATAAAAAGAGGTGAATGACAATAAGTAGTTGTCAGAGATACTGATGTACTGCACCACGTACCAGAGTACTGGCAGGTGGGGAAATGTGAACACAGAGTGACCAAGCAGATGTGCAGTTTGTCAGAAACATTAGATGTTCTAAGCTACTCTTTTTGATGTGTAGGGTGTAACGTGTTTCTCTAGAAGGTCCAGAGATGTTATCTATATCAGAATTTCAGAAAACTTTTACAGTTACAGATTCACAATGATCCATAACTTCCCATTCTCCTGGGTCTCTACTAACAATTTTTCCTGCCTGGCTGTTGTTTTGTTTTGTTTTCATTTTTTATTTGCTTGTTTCTTTAAAGAGAATAGTAAAAAAAAGTAATAAACTATAGAGCCAAGAAAATCAAGAAGGTTTATTTTCTAATGAGAATAAAAAGTAGTAAAAATGAAAATAAAAAACATTAAAACTGATACAGAATTTCACTAAACAAATTGATAGGAATAGAATGAATGTTGTTATATTACATATCATTATCTTCAAATTGGTTGTTCATATTATCAAATATAAGCATGTAAAATTGATCAAGTATTAAAAAGCAAAGTATGGTTTAAGCAATAACTGCTCTTTTCAATGTCAAGGTACGATGGACCTCATATAGTACTTTAGGGATGTGTACTCTATAGCAAGGTTAAGTCCCCAAAATTTAACAATTAAGGTTACAAACTACATAGCAATCATCTTCTTTATGATTTTTAATAAACAACTTGCTGTCCAAGGGAGAGTGTTCTCTGAGCTTTAGTTTCAGCAAATATTGTCTCTGAGAGAAGAAACAAACCATAACTCTTTTTCTATAAGCAATTGCCTGCCCAGTTTCTCAAATTGACACTGGAGTTTGACCTCACCTTATGCATCCTTAAATTTAGCGTCCTTCAGTCCCTGCATTCTTTATGATGCACAACACAATGGTCTGTCTGCTTTCCTACCTACGCTCTGCTTATAGCCTGGCACTACTGCAGCCAGGAGCACTATCAATGTTTTTTGACTAGACTCACTGAGTCTATGCTTCTCCTTTAGTTCATGTGTGTATGAATTCTGTGCTTCTCCTTAGAAAGAATCCTTGAATGGGAGAATGCAGCTGTCTGTTATCTTCTTCCTTCCCATACAGGAAGCAACTTATATGATTCTTTTGATTCAAGTTTCATTACTCTTCATAATGCTCCCTTATGCCCTCAATACTCCCACATTGTCAACCAACTTCCTTTCCAATTTCCCTGATACACTTGACTGTTCTGTGCTTCAGGGCATTTATTTGCAAGCTCTATGGAATAGAAAATCACTTGCTTTGTATTCACACAGAATAGTACACTTAAATAAGAGAAGAATTGATATAGTATGGTTTCTGTTAGTTATGAAATATTTTGTCTTCTAGTATTCTGACTTCAGGGAAACAGAGGGTTCCTTTCTTTGGGATTCTTTCAAGTTATTACTTGTGCATGGATTGTATGCACTTATTGTTTGAATTAATGGTACCAGAATTAGGTATACTTTCCATGAAAGTCAGAATTTTTTTTTAGTTTTACCAGTGTTAATTTATTGATTGCTGGGGATGCAGACTATGAAGAATATATAGAATGCACTGGGAGAAGGAATTAACCATACCTAGGCTGAATCTATTCGACAAGCCTGTGAGGAGTCCATCAGGTAGCACAACTCACATCTAAGGAGATGGCAGGATGACTCTCAGCTACCTATAAGCTATGCAAATGCACTGGGGACTTACTTACTCTTAGTTATTTAAAAATCACCAGGAAAATGGGAAGTTCAGTCTGCCTCTTTATTTTAAATAAAGCTAAGAAGGAATCTGTGAATCATCTAAATATGCCTCCCCACCAAATTATGTGCGTTTCAAATTTTAAGGAAATTTCATTTCTAAAAGTTCTTTCACATCAATTTGTGTGCCTCAGGATTAAAAAGGCTATGTGAATTGAAAAAGGATTAATGACCAATTCAAAAGACTGTATGTACCAAAACCTAGTTATGTAAGATTGCGCTGCTCTCTAACACTAGCAGGTGATTTTTGTTGTTGTTTTTTTTTTTTTTTTTTTTTTTTTTTT